AGATGAAATGGCAATATTCCTGGTGAAATAATCAGAAGTGACACTCCGTTAAGACCAAATGTCCCTTCTTGTAAGAAGAGACTGAATCTAAAATTAGTCCTTCATCACAGTAACCGGGCAATACTAAACAAACCCCTTCCACTTAAAAATACACTTAATCACGAAAATAACGACTTACTCACATGAATTAAAAGAGAAATGCTCGACTCATTTCAAGTCACAACGGGACTCTCATTCATGAGCAGCATGACCGGCGTGTTAAAGTGGAGTAAGCTACTCGTCATCAAGAAGGAGACACAAGGTTTAGGCCGATTTAAAAAAATATATATGCAATGTGCATACCTAAAATATTATGTCTTTAAAATGAATTGTGACATCTCTCTTCACAAAACCGTGTCACTATAGCAACAGTTACAATGACGTAATATAGATCGGTGCGCACGCGCATTTGAACACTCAAATCAAAACGTTTGCGGAGACGGCGAAAGTTATTCAATAAATCAAATTAGACCATGTTATTGTCAATGTCTGTACATTAATCAGTTTTGTAATATATTATTTATTTGAAGTTGAATGAATGTTCCGTCTCTTTCCGGCGCAGGCGCAACAAACTGCAGTTAGAATAACGTATTTCGTAAGCTAAGATAAATAGTCAGTTTAGACAAGACAATCATAGAATCAAATTGAATGTTTCATAACCTTTTGAAAGTAAACCAAATATTGAAAATATTTTACTAAGAACCATGTTCAATTTAAAACCAACCCTAAAAGTGCGTTATACAAATAAGAACTGTGGGCCTCCTATTTCCAATAAAATATTCGATCAAAATTTAAATCGTAATTCACAGAAGTTATAACTGTTAGTCTCAAACTTAAATAGAGAACATTCTCCAGACAATTTCACGGTAAACCTAATAATAATACCCTATTTCTATCCATAATAGAAATACTATGTCTATGCATTTGCTAATCGGTATAAATAAATAGCTGTCAAATGTCGATTCGTATGCAAAACGTCGAGATGCTGATAAGCCGGTACATTATAGGACATTACGACAAGTGCTGGTCGTTCAGTACCGTTGCCCAGGCGCAGAAGCCGGCCAACAGATGCGCGGGCGTCGCTCGTCAACTATCCCTGCGCTTGCGCATAATGGCGACACTCATAAAAGGAACTACGGTAATGGCCGACTTTACGACGGCTAATCGATATAAAATATTATTACTAATGTTATAAAATTATTATTCAATTTATTTATTAATTTATTATTCAAAAAATGTTTAGTTTGCGATCTGTTAGTTAGGTGTTTGGTTGAGGGTTGATTTAATTAATTTACGGGATTATCGTGAAGATTTCTTTTCTATGTTATTGTTCTCTGGACATAATCCAGCATTTTTATTTGTCTACTAGCTTCCGCCCGCGGCTTCGCCCGCGTCAAATTAGTTTTTTCCTGATCCCTTATGTCTAAGAGACTCTTACAGGGGCCAGCCCAAAAGTACCATTTTCAAATTCCACACTTCTTGAAATTTTCAAATTCCACACTTCTTGTGGAATTTGAAAACGGTACCCCTCTTGCTCATTGCTAAACATAAGCGGGTATTGTAGTGCGTCATAAAACTTGTGTGTGTCGGACACCCTGATCAATGTGTTATCACGGGTGTGAAAAACAATATCGCGCGATGCGAACTGTTCACCACACACCATGGCAGCGACTTCGTTTTAATAAACGTGCATCGTAATCAATCGTAAATAAATAATAAATCATCGTAAAGCATGCAATCGTAAAGGGTGCATTATAACGTCTTTCGTGTTCCCCGCTTGGCGTACAATCTGCGAGCACTACTAATTAGTGATTTTCCCGTGGCATTTTTTCTAAGGCTGTTTTGAAGGTGTTAATGAGGTTATTATGTTCGTGCAACATTCTTTGAATTTTTAAAACAATGTCCCTTTCATCTCCTTCAATATTTTGCCATCAACAACGGTCAACCTCGCTGTTTTCGTCTCCCATTAAATCAATTAGTAGAAATTTTGGTTGATCACTGTTTGTGGAAAGCAAAGAACAAATCCTATGATAAAGTTGCCCTTGTACCGTAAATGTGGGTGAAAATCCAAGCATGATGACAGGAAAATCGCCGAGATTCATTGCTGTCCTTTCTTCTGTCGTTGCTCCTCGGGGTCACCAAGCGTTGGTACTGATACTTTGCCTCCAGAACAGCACATACCTAGGGTCTCTTTCTTCCACTTGAGTGCCTCACAGCGTCTGCATTATTGGCCATTCTACCTATGAGGACTAATCGATGATTAAAGTAATCAAGTAACAGATCATAATTAAAAGCAGCATCGGCAAATGCCTCCCACGTATTCATCGTAAACGTACGTCTCCTCAGCATTAATTAAACGTTGTCTACGTGTTTCTTCGGAGATCTCTGCGGCTATGTACGAAGCTTGACGCTCAGCATCTAAGATTTGGCGAGCTTGGGTCTATTGAGAAGTGTCAGCAGCTCTTTGATCCGCGTGACGCTCGACATCAATGTATTGGCGAGCTTGGGACTGTTGAGAGGTCTCAGCAGCTCTTTGAGCCGCGTGACGCTCGGCATCAATGGCTTGGCGAGCTTGGGTCTGTTGAGAAGTCTCATTCCAGTGATCTGGCAAGTTTAGCAGCCCGAGCTCTGCTAGAGCTTTAACTAAATTGGACTTTCGTTTGCGAGGCATCGTAGAACAACAAAAATGAAATGAATCGAACAAAACAAATGTACAGATTAAGATTTATTATATTAAAAAAGCTTTTTTCACCCTACCTGCACCTACTTGGATAAGTACTTATTTACAATCAATGCAAAAAAGTAGGATGCTATTAGATTAATTGAATAAAAAAAGGAAATAAAAGCAAATCGTATTTTTTTAAAGTAACGGAAACTATTTTACCTACTTGTAACGTTGTAACTACGAACTTGAAAATTTTTTTACAGGATCTAATTAATAAAAAACACTTAAAAAGTTAGACGAAACAATAAAATAATTTTACTGGATCGAAAAATGTAATTCTCTAAAGCGCAAATTTCTCTTATCGCAACCGACAACGACCTCTGTCCTCACGTGTCTGTCCGTTCGGGTAGACATAGTTAGATTCGTGCGCTTCCCCACCACACGACAGCGCCGCGCCGCACTTCGGCGAATGTGCGCGACGCCGACGGCAGCGGCGGCGATGCAGAGTGTTCATTAAAAGGAATTTATACATCGAAAGTGAACTATTTTGTAACTTGATACACCCAAAACTTCTAAATTACATGTTCCTAGGTTCAATAGTTAAGATTTCGTATACATAAAGGTGGGCTTTGTAGATCCCGTTCCGAATCCGTTCCGGGTCTTATCTTCAATTCATCCCCTATTTCACTACATATCACACTGATAAAATTTTCAAAATGCTAGTACAATCGATGTTTTGTTTCTTATGACGTGATATTTGACGAAATTGCATACTAACTTTCAACCCTTATTTCACCCCCTAGGTGGTCGAAATTTCAAAAAAGCTAGAACAAATATTTCAAATTTTTTTATCAAGTGCTTAAATATTAAGTTTTATGGTTTTATCTTTAAAAATTAAGAAATCCCATACAAACTTTTAACCCCTATTTCAACCCCTTTATCCCTGTTTTTCGAAAAAAAAGTAGCCTATGTTCTGTCTCAGGGTTTAAAGATTGTCTGTACCAAATTTCATTAAAATCGGTTGCGAGGTTTAAGCGGGAAAGCGTAACAGACAGACAGACAGACAGACAGACAGAGTTACTTTCGCATTTATAATATTAGTTAGGATAATAGCTGGGTCTTAGAGATGAGATTACTGGAAAATTTTGTTACAGCATAAAGTCTTTATTTGTACCCTGAATGAGGCAATTGGCTTATTTAATTATAGTCTGCAAATCTTAATTAACCGCTACATGTCTGTTCAAGAAATAATAACCATGGTGTCTTTTATGGACTATCATTCATAAGATAGGTTCAGTTAACCACAGATCTAGGCATTAGCATACCGCTAGGATAAGCTAGGTCATGAGATAACTACAAAATTACAGACCTAGGCTATTAACTGCAAGTCCAGGGTTCAAGTTTGTAGAGTGCAAGGTCTAAATACTTAGTAAATGAACTAGTTTTTAACTTGAATGCTAATGTTGATCGAGTTTTGTTTCGAGTTTTATTTTCTTCAGCAGTTTCAGACTCAATGCTTATATTAAGATAATAATAGAAATCAATACTGAATCGACTTTTTGAATTTGATCCATTGATTCGATATCAATTCCCATATCTTTCCTAACCAAATTTAAGTATCAAATAGAATAATATTTAGCCACATAATCTTAAACACATCACAGATAGCACAATTATTTTATGTTTCCCTAAGCGGCTTTAACGCCTAATTAAAATCAGAAGCACCACAAAATGACCGCTGGAACAAGGTTAAGTAATTGCTGGTCTCTGAATGAGATATGTTCACACAACTAAATAGACTTAAACATATAATATCGGCCTAGAAAAGTGACTTGGAGAAATGTCCAGCCTCTTTGTCTATATCTCATATAGGAACGGGAGCTGTTCTCTGAGTACGTCCATTTATAAAACGTCGAGTTAAAAAGTTGTTGGTATAGGATTGAGATCGCCGTCTACTAATATCTGATTGGTGATTAGTTTTCTGAGAGCGTTCTTGCTATTTATAGTAAAAATAAATAGGATATAATTATATATCTCCACAAAAGTGATACGCTAAAATAATAATTAGTTTTTTTGCTCTCAAATATATAATTATCAGTATCCTAATATCAAAATCAAGGCGTTCACTACTAAAAATAAGCCCTTAATTTTAAAAGTCGACTGTTTATCAAGACTGAATAACCCCAACTTCCATTTCCACCGATTGGAAGTGACCTACATTCAACAGCATCAATATCATTCAACAAATATAAGATTTATTTTAAAGACTATTCTAACTTTCTTCTTTATTTCTTCCACAGCCAGACACAGTCCCTCAGGCCAGCATTGACATGACAACAGTCCTGGAGGTGAGCGAGGCAGACAGCGTGACGGGGCACTCCTACAGCCTGGCCATCACGGCTCCGGAGCGAGTGACATTCGTGAAAGGCACCTGCAGGGAGGAGGCGCGGTGGTGGTCTGACGTTCTTAGCGTGTACCCTAGGAGTAAGGTCAGTATCCAGTGGAAGGAAGATGTAGTTATAAGACACGTAAGCTCTGCTCTGCTATCCATTGGTTTAGGTTCCTCAATTTATTAGAATAACTAGCTTCCGCCTGCGGCGTCCTCCGCGTGGTCTATTGATAAAAAGTAGCCTATGTCCTATTCCGGAGTGTATCCTATGCCTGTGCCAAATTTCATCCAGATCCGTCCAACCTTTTATTTATTTATTTATTTATTAATTTGGATTCCCGACAGAAGATACACTTACATGCTATGTTAATCAATATGTTACATTAATACTGCCTTGTGTTCCTCCAATTATGGGGAACCACATCATACATATTTTGTTGGCATAAAACAGGAATTAACCAAATTCAAAAAAAAAAATATATATATTTTTTTTTTTTTGAATAACAAAAGAAACAATCTCTAAATTAAATCAATAAAATTAAAATTTTAGTTACATTGTAATCCAGAAGACTAAACCAAACTAAACTTATTATTCAATTAAATGAGATCAATGTTATCACTGATAGACATAATCAAAGTAAATAAACATATTTTTGACAATAAACTATATAAGTAACAATTAATAAAACTTAAATTGAATCTGAAATTAAGATTAAGATAAATAGGAAATATTAACATAAATTAAATCAAAATCTGATACCTCAACACACGCTGTCTCCTAGTCTTAAAAAAAGTAAAGATTTGAATTTTCCCAATTTATTTGAGAATATGTCTATGTCTTCCGAGGCGCTAGATAACTCATTGTACTTGTTAGTCATTCGTGCTATGGGTGAATGCTTGCCCACGTTAGTTCGGTACTGCGGGGTTGTAAGTAATGGACGGGGGTAGCGTGGGATCCTGGTTGGTACGCTTAGAAGTATATTATTGAGAAGGTCAGGACAGTCAATACCATTATTAAGTAGTTTATATAGGAACATGAGGTCTAGGACTGTGCGCCGAGATTCCAATGGAGTTAGTTTGAAGTGGTTGATTCTGTCTAGGTATGTTCGACAGTTACGAACCTTGAACCGATAAGTAAGGTGTCGTGCGAGTCTTTTTTGTATTTTTCGATCCTGGTAATATGTACTTGATATGAAGGACTCCATACTGTGCTGCAATACTCCAATTGACTGCGAACATAGCTATTATATAAGATAAGAGATGTAGATGGTTTTTTAAAGTCTTTAGAGGAACGCAACACGAATCCAAGGGCCCGGTAAGCTGAATTTACTGTTTTGCCTATATGATCTACGAAACTTAATTTGCTATCTAGATAAATGCCCAAATCCCGTATGACTGAGTAACAAACATCCAAACATCGTAACTTTCGCAGTTATAAGTAAGATGCTATTCGGAATTATAGATTGTCACATTTCTTCTTTTGACGCTTATTTTAATAGTCGGTACATAAACACAATAGTCTATAAGGAAGAATGCAGTCTCTTAATACAAATATTGCTTGCTTAACAGAAGAATTCTATCATCACGTGATGTACCATTTCCTTATTAAGTACCAATAATATTTATTTTCTTCAATACAGGATTCAGAACAACTATCATCAATCATATCAGCTACACGTTCAAATCATTGTTGAAAACAATGATTCATCAAGGTTTTTTTCTGTTATTGTAGCTGCAAATATTCTTTAAGTTTTTCCCTAAACAGACGTATCCACAATAATCGTACACCCATACCAACACAACACACTCTTTTCGTTTTGAAAGCCATCAAACAAAGAATTACGTACAGTAGGTAATTTCGTAAACGGTTCCCCTCAATAATTTGCAGTCAGCTACCTCGATCGGCCTTTATCAAGCATAGGTCATTCTCCAATTATGTGTTTACGTACTCATACAGAGGGCTGAGGTATCTGTTAAATTGCTGACTTCCTCCACCAACCTTCAGAACTGTGTCCAATAGTGTCGGCATTCACACCTCCCTATTATTAGAAGCAAGGGTTAAGCCTAGTTGATATGATCTCAAAAAATTTTGAAATCCCATCTCTGAAAGTCATAAAACAAAATCACTAATTCTGTATGTTTCAACTCTTAAATTGTTAAACAGATATGTCTATTAGGAATATAATGATTTTAAGTCTTACACAACAGGCAAAGATGCGTCGTTAGGCTTGTTAAAAACTTAATGTTCCCGCAAACAAGTTTTCAAATTCAAACTAATCAAAATTCCTTATACACATGTGACCTCAAATGAGGATCCTGGTCCTTTAGCTGCAGCCTCATACATGTATGCTTGCAATAACACTAAATAGTATACCTTGCAAAACGAGTAGTAATTATTTCTATCACTTAAAATTCACAATTAAATTGTATAGAGTAATTTTACTGGCGTAGAAATCATTGAGCAAATATGTTAATGAAGAGGCATTCATTTCAAAATGTGTAAAGGTATTTTTTAAATATAGTTTTCTTGTTATTTTTCTCGATCCTTCTCCGATCACCACCCAGCATGGGATGTAGAGTGGTACTAAAAATGCTTTTATCAATCCGAATAGCAAAAAAAAACAAAAGCGACTTAATTTTACAGCTCAAACGTCTTATTTTCCCTTGCTTACATTTTCTCCTTAAAATATCCTGTCGTAAAAATGATTACAAATAGGCTTTTTTCTCAAACCTTATTAAGCCAGTGTATTGCATCCCTTACACGAGAGCAGCCGAAACAGCGTGTTTCTAAACGAATAACCAATCGAGGCGTAATAAGACGTGTGCTTCCTGCAGCGAAAGCTGCGCAGGCGCAAATTGTTGGGCACGTTATGAACCAACGCAATTTTATAGACTATGTTAATGGACCCGGCGTTTCCTACGTATAATAAGATGTTGGTATACAACCTCGATGTGGTCGATTTAATACAACACAAATTATAAAGTGCGGGTAATTTTAATTTACATTGGAATCGATTCTGCGCAGGTTTCCTTTGTGGGAATGTACAGCTTAAAATCAATATTGATATTTTTGCAACGTTCATATATTTAGTTGGTTTATTTTGTTAAGTATTTTTTGTCATACCAAATGATTTTCTTGGTTTATTTTGACACAGTTGCGTTTGCGCATCTATTAGTACAGTCACTTACAAAAATGTGAGAATCCGATCTAATTAACATATTGTGATGATGTTGATAGTTTGCAAATCAACACAAAGTATTGATTTGCCTTACTCATACTTTGTAAAGACGTCTCTTCTTGATTGATACAGATAGAATAACTTCCCACGCATCTTAACCTTTCAACCGTGGTCATTCGATACACAATACAAGGACAATATGCGCGCGAACGCCGGCTTTCGCTTGGGATTTGGTAGTAAAAACTCATCAAAGTTTCCTTTCATAGACCAAACCAAGTTTACATCACATCAGCTCACAACTGGGTTCACGTTAGTTGACCACCAACAATGCGACTGACTGTACCGTGACGAGAGGCGACAGGTTCTTGTCGCCCTTGGATCCAAATGATCCTGTTTCACCGCATACCATACAATAAGATTTAATAATGGGTGTACGTGGACTTGGGTAGAGCAATCTCAGCTGTGCATAGAAGACTATGTTTTAAGAAGGTACCTATGTATGTACTTAATAAGTAATTATTGGCGTCGTTTATTAGAAACGTGCGTGGCTGTAGTAATAGTTTTCGCATGCACTGTATACAGGTTTCAACCGGATTAGTTTGCTTCGTGAGTTTTTCTTTTTTTTAATGGGTTTTAGAAATGTAGCCATTTTTATGTTGATTCTAAAATAAATTAACCTTATACAATTCAAACTTTTACGACTATCTTCTCGGGTCCGCAGCGAAATAGCTTGTCTATTTCTGCTACACTTAATACACTATCTGTAGGAGTGAGTATTTGTCTTTTACAAAAAACTATAAACTAAATAAATGGCAGGAAATGGCGATTTGAAACACTTTAACACTCCCATTTCCCCTAGTTAATACTTTCCCATTTATTCCTTATAGCAGTCGTCTTGTGATAAGTGCACGTATATTCTAATAAATACCAGATTATCTCCACAGCCTTGTAGGGACATAAACATTTTTTTTTTTTTTTGAGAGGCAAAACATCTAATAACTTCTTCCGTCCAGGGTGGGGCGGGAGACACAGACTCTGTCTGACTCAATATCCCCCTGTTCCTTCTCCTGCTTGTCATAGCTTTCTTTATCCATTTTTAACTACGCATCTTCGGTTCATCGCTCACTAAGTCATGAGTTTTTATATACATAATTATTTTAAATCTTTCCCTTATTTCCGATCCACTCGTTTCATATAATTAATCATATCATTATAACTGTTCATTTTGACAGTTAAATTCCTGGCAAACCATGAGTCAGTATCAGGAAATAATGAAAGCTTTGCGAAACACCATAAGACCTAATTTGATGGCTATGCCTTAAAATTGCACCACAACCGTGCTGTTTTATTCAATGGAACGAATTCCTGAAATGCTGTGACGTCATTAAGTATTGCTCTTTCTCTCTAGCTTTCGGATCAGACAGGGACAATGAGATGCTTGTTATGTGCCTGTTTTTTACAGCCTAAATGTCGTTTTTCTTTCAGAAAAGTGCTGTTGTCAATAAAAACAACAAATTGTTTAGAACAGTAATTTATACAGTAATTTATTTAAATTCTTTTCAAAAAATGCGTCTCTCCTCCTGCCACAAGTGTCATATCACAAAGGATTACCCACATTAAGATATTCCTTCAAAAAAATAAAAAAAAACCCAATGCCCATCAAAATGAAACTATACGGCGGCACCATTTAAGTCCAATTTGGACCAAAACTCATAGACTATTCGTTCAATTTTCCAATTGCTGGTAATAGTCCGATCGATTCCTTTGATCTCGGTCGGCTGCAGCTGTGCGTTTGGCCCAGTTTCCATCAAATGGGGCGATGTAATTAGCGCAGGATTGAGTTACTTGCGCCCGCGCATGGTTAGTGACTCATTCCCTGTCGATTGTGAGTTTAAGAGAAACTTGTGCTCTAATTCAGGAA